AGATTGCTGTTCATTTAAATATATATAATATAATAAGAGACGACAATATACACTGCAAGAAGTGATATCAAGTGATAAGAAGTGACAGCATCCTAAATATAGACGATATATTCATTATGAGACGTTAACTGTTAGAACGTTAACTGTTCTGGAACAGAAATTTGAAATCTATGACAGTTATTAGGGCAAATTTTATTGTTCCGCATAGCTCACCATCTTCAAACTCTCTTTGGATCATAATTTTACACATGATTTTATTCAATGTGTAATTTCACAAAATGTATCTAGCATGTGGGCCTACAGGATTAGTTCAAACTGTAAAAAACAGTAAAAAAAATTAAAAATCTTATTCAGACCTTAGATGTTAGATGAAGGACTAAGGCATCTAGTGAGATAATAAGCTAAATACACACAATAGCATCATTTATAGAGTACTTTCTATTGGAAGGTGTCCCAAACCCTAGCTCCTAAATGTACACCTGTGAAAATAATATTTTTATTATATAGTAAGGCTTATCATACAGTAACTAACTGGCTGAGCTGCTCTTAGGTTTAGAAGTGTGTAATAAAACTTTGGGCCCTGGCCATTTAGGGGGTTAAAGTGAAGTTGAAAGATTAAGATTTATTCAATAAAAGCTGCCCATTTTATCAGCTCCACTTACTATATAGGTGCACTTTGTAGTTCTACAGTTACAGACTGTAGTCCATCTGTTTCTCTGCATACTTTGTTAGCCCCCTTTTACCCTGTTCTTCAGTGGTCAGGACCCCCATGGACCCTCACAGAGCAGGTACTATTTGGGTGGTGGATCATTCTCAGCACTGCAGTAACACTGACGTGGTGGTGGTGTGTTAGTGTACGTTGTGCTGGTCTGAGTGGATCAGACACAGCAGTGCTGCTGGAGTTTTTAAACACTGTGTCCACTCACTGTCCACTCTATTAGACACTCCTACCTTGTCGGTCCACCTTGTAGATGTAAAGTCAGAGACGATAGCTCATCTGCTGCTGCACAGTTTGTGTTGGTCATCCTCTAGTCCTTCATCAGCGGTCACAGGACGCTGCCCACAGGATGCTGTTGGCTGGATATTTTTGGTTGGTGGACTATTCTCAGTCCAGCAGTGACACTGAGGTGTTTAAGAACTCCAGCAGCACTGCTGTGTCTGATCCACTCAGACCAGCGCAACACACACTAACACACCACCACCATGTCAGTGTTACAGCAGTGCTGAGAATGATCCACCACCCAGTACCTGCTCTGTGAGGGTCCATGGGGGTTCTGACCACTGAAGAACAGGGTAAAAGTGGGCTAACAAAGTATACAGAGAAACAGATGGACTACAGTCTGTAACTGTAGAACTACAAAGTGCACCTACATAGTAAGTGGAGCTGATAAAATGGACAATGAGCGTAGAAACAAGGTGGTCATAATGTTATGCCTGATCGGTGAATATTAGCTATACTTAAGATGCTTTCTCTGTCCAGTACATTATTTTTTTTATGTTTTAAGACAAGTTTTTAAACTAAAAAGGCACCAATTAATACACAGAAAGAGAAAATATGAATCTCATACAGTAATACAGGCTGAATTTGCTGTGACAGTCCATCCAGTTTGCGATTCCTCTTTAGTTTTACTCACAGAATAAAACTGCTGGTTTATAAAGGAGTGAAGATGTCAGTGCACTGATTCAAAGCTCAGTGTGACTTAAGCTGAAGTGACCCTGTGTGAGCTGCACATTACACTCTGATCAGACTTTCCTAAAACCAGCATTTTAATTACCAGTGCTTAGGCGAGTCTATAATTACTCGATTATATGATAAGGCAGACGATAGTGGAAGTAAATGTTTTATATTGAAAAGGAAATTTCGGTCTGGACGTCTGAACTGGTCAGACGTTTGGGGCGAGTTGCTGGGTCCTTTCACTGGGCACCCCAGTCAAATGACATTTTGTTGATTTTCTAATTGAAAATAAACAAAATTCTGCAAAGTTCCTATTAATGTGCCATCTCTATTTATTGGCTACATATAACATATTGGAAAAAAATAAAACAGCAAATTTATAGAAGAGGTTTTTATCAAATTTATATGAAAAGGTTAATTAACTTTAACCTTTTCAACTCCTAGGGACCACTGGTGGTTCCAAAACGCACTTTGTCATATTCTTCATAACTTTCATGTTTTATAAGCTACATTCAAAAGGTGGGTGTCGTATGAGAGCTGTAACTGTCTTCTTTACAGTCAAATAGATGAGTAATGTAATTTTAAACCCTTATAATAAAAGAAGCTGAACTCAATTTTTTTTTCTACTGAAAGTCGACCCATTTTTCCACAAATTTGGGCTATAAACTATAAACAGATGGCGTCTCTTCAGTGATCTGCTCTGAGTGTCTAAGATTTTTGGCTTTCAGCAGTAAATTGTAAGCATATGGCAATATGTGTATGATCATAAAACACAATTTTTTTTTTTTTTACAAAAGAAATAAATAAATAAACAAAATAAAAATTAGATTTATTTCATGCAGTTACTGAATAATTTGCCTTACAATTTGGGCATGTAAATTCAGATGGAAAAAACAAAATATACCCTGGGGAATAACAGGTAAATTTGCAAACAGAAAATCAAACAAACAAAACATATCTAGGGGTGCCCAAACATTTGCATAAGACTGTATGTTTTATTTTTATATTATTTTTTTTCAGATATACAATACTGGACAAAAGTCCGAGACAGTTTCCAGTCAAAACAGCCATTACATCTAAGTTATTCATTTTTCAGGAGATATTTCTGAGGAGATGTGAGATGATCCACATACATAAGGAAGGACAAAGTCAAAGGAAAGCAGTAAGTAAAAAAGCTTTCAAAGCTTGAGTTGAAAAAATGATTAAAAGCTGCGGAGAAAATGTGTCTCCTAACAACCACCTGGAAGACCTGATAGACAGTAAATCTGCCCCCATCAGATAAGCAGCACTCTGTCCATCCTTCCACTGTGAGAAGACGACTCAGCGCTATGGGTCTGAAAGGATGTGTAGCTGTCAAGAAGAACCTCACTGAGAAAAGGAAAAGGAAGGAGAAGCTGCTGGTGTTCCCAAAACACTGGACTGACCACCCCAGAGTCCAGACCTTAACATCACTAAACATGTTTGGATTACTTGGATTGTGAGAAGCAGAAAATGCAACCAACTTCTGAAACTGAACTTTGGAAAATATCCCTGCAGATTTCTTTAAAAAACTAATGGAAACTAATGGACAGAAGCTGCAACAAAAGCAATAAAAACACTCTAAATACTGAAAAATAATATATAAATACACATATATATATAGTATAAAATACTTTTTTGACTTGTGGTCTTGATCTCATCTCGGTCTCAACCTCATTTGGACTGGGTCTTGTCTCAGTGTCGGGGCAAGTCTATCGAGACCAGTCAAGTCTGAGGCCTCCGTTTGAAGTAAATGGAAACTTATTACTGAAGTTATTACTGAACATCAACAAAATAGAAAAATAAAAAACAGAATAAATGTCCTTTCTTCACATCAGGGTACCCAAACTTTTGCAACTCATGGCCCACACAAACAACCACAAAAGCTTTTAATTTGAAAAGACACCTGAGTAAACAGCCCAGAGTGGTAGTTACTCATTTACAGTTCCCACACATGTGAACTGCTGCATTTCCTTCGTTTTGGTTATGCTTGCATTGAATACATTAATATATAGTGAACATTTTGGCAGAACAATCAATGAACCTGATGTAAATATAATGTTTTATTTTTGCAAATATTCAACAATATTCGTCATATTTGAATTATGTTGGTTAAATATTTGTATGGTAACAAATTATGAAGTTTAAAAAAAACAAAAAAAACAAAATGCAGTACCACCGGGGCCCACTGGGGGGCTGCTGCCCACAGATTGAAAACTACTGTCGTACATGTTTAAATAAAATCTGTTGGTTAAGGATCTAATCGATCGTTTCCAGAATGGCTTAACTGAGTATTATTTTTTCTTGATGTTTACTGGTTCCAAAGCTCAAACATCCCCTAAGGGCGGAACGTAATGGTTTTACTGAAATCTTGTCATTTTCATATTCCGAAAAAAATCTTTGTCTGTTCTCTGTCTCGTCCACTCCTGGGCCCAATCACATTTCACCCCTCGCCCCTACCACTTAACCCTTACCCCTCCGTTTCGTCTAGGGGTAGGGTGTCCTGATTCTTGTTGAGATAGAGGGGTAGGGCGAAGGGTTAGGGCTACATGGCCCTCCAAACGGAGTGTTATGAGAAAAAACGGCTGGATGGCTGCGCAAGCGATCAAATAAACCCACAAACGTGAGTATTTTCTCTGTTAACAAATTATGATAACCATTGTATTATCTTAGTTTAATGTCATTTCAGTGTATTATGGTCCTTTTCATCATGTCAAGCATAAAAAAATTGCTAATAGTATGCTAATATCTCGGTATCTAGTTAGCTAAATTTCCCATTCCACCTTAAATAGTACAGCGGTACTGATGCTTGAAGCACCACAATATAACTGCTGCTCTATTTAAGGTGGAACAGGAAAATTCGAACATGTAGCTGGCGAATAGCTGACTTCAGCTTCATATGCCTGAAGAATTAGGGGCGGCAATAATAAATAATTGCCCCCCTCCTTTGAATGTATATGATGCCCTAAATGTAACTGAAGCCCAGCAGTGAGGTTGCTGAACTTTACCATCCTCTGCTATCACTGCGGACTGACAGGGTCGCCTACAGAGCACCACCTGTTAATAAAGTAATGCTCTTTATTATTTGAGGTTCCCATTTCTTAGAGGAAGATTTCAACCACTGCCCGTTGTAACTTAGTTCAAATGGCCGAGGTGACACTCGAAAACAAGGGGTAGGCGCTGGTCTCGGTCCTCGGACTCGACTACATACAGATGTCGAACACCTTCAGTCACATTCCACATCTCTATCTCAAACGTTTAAATAACAGAGACAAGCTTTCTGAAATAGAGACAATGGAAGCAAATAGTGGACAGCAATAAATGTTTTACTGTTCAAGAGCGAGTCATACATGTTTAATGGAACTGGAACACACAGCCAGAAGGTACAGGGACAATTCTGATGGACAACACTGTGAAACTTTTCATTCACTCTCACAGTAACATACACAGAAACACACACAGACACTAAGGCCACTGCTTCGGAAAGCTGTACTGTACATTTTGAATAACAATGATGCTCCTCTAGGGTTTTATCTGTGAAATAATATCTGTAAACAGCTCTATTAAAGCTACAATCTAGATGCAAGAACCTATTGGAAATTGAACAATCCATGCTCTGCCCACAAGCTACTGAGCTACTGTTGTGGAGTTGGTCTAGATTTATAGAAAACTGACTATTTGTAGACAAATCTAATGAGAAACTACACACATGTTGCTTAGAGGCTTCGTAACATTGAGCTTCCAGTTTAAAATGCTTTGCTACTGAGCTGGACTGTGCTGCTGTAGCTAATTGAAACAAGGCAGTTTGGAAAGAACAATGACAAATTTATCATCATGCTAATTTCAGCTTTATTACATGTCTAGCTGATTCATCACGCAAAATAAATATCATCTGAAAACAATAACACACTCTACATGAAGATATTTTAACAAAAGCTGGGTGAGCTACAGTTTATCATTGGGTTGAATGGGATTCCTGCAAATGTTCTGTACAGTTTAACCTCGCAACAGTACCAACGACAGAGCTTGTTTGTGGGCGGAGCACAGACAGGTCAATTAGAATCACCATAACTGCTCTACTCATACTCTAATCATGAGGGGGTAAGGCAATTTCAAGAGCCATGAAAATCCATTTTCAAGAAGTTTCCACACAACTAAGGTGATGTAAACAACACAGTTTGTGTGTCTTTAAGATTAACCCACAACAACGACTAACTGCATCAAGCAGAAAGGCAGTTACACACTGAACATGATGTGAATAAACAATGCCAAAAAAGTGAAATATTTGGGGAAAAAAAGACTTTTCTGCATCAAAAATGAATGCGGCACAATAGTTTTGGAATTTTGCTGAGTGTTGGCTCACTGAAAAACTGAAAAAATGAGCTTCAAGTGACAAAAAATATAATTTTCTCCTTTAAAAGGGGCAAAAATTGGGCCATCAGTGATGCTGGGTGGGCTATATTGCATTTAGGAAAAGAGAAGGTAGAACAGATTCACTCCCTCAGTCAGGAGCTGCGTAAAACACATGAATTTTGACCTTAAATTTTATTTTAAGCTGTTTAAACCCTCTTTGGGGAAATATTTGAGTTGCAAGTGAAAGAATCCATTATTATAAATTGAGTTTTAGACCTTTTAAGTTTCAGCTGATGCAAAATTTAAACGCAAAATTATAAACATTTAAAAAGATGGTTCTTCAAGGGTTCTTTAGTAAAGGCAATTCTAAAAGTAATTAGTACCATGAGATCTACATAGAGTCATTTACATGCTTAAATGGTTCTTTACATGGTGAATTGGTTCTTTAGATTGATGGAGAATGTGTCGTATATAGTTCTATATAGCACCAAATAGGTCCTGATATTGTTACGATGTTTGTTATGAAGGTTGTAACAACATGAGAACCCTCTCTCGTGCTATGTAGAAACATTTACAAAGAGTTTTAATACAGAACCATACACAACGCATTCTACATCATCCTGAAGAACCATTTCACCATGCAAAGAACCATTTATGCATGCATTGCCTATACAAAAGAACCGTTAAAGAACCTTCTTTTTTAAGTGTGCAGCTTTGAAATGATTCCATACGCATTTAACTTCACTAGTAATGTTTTGTGAAAACAGCCACTGAAACTTTTTCAGACAGTTAACGTTTGTTGAAAAGTCGTAGCTGCTTTTACACAGCCATGGGTCATCTTGGTTGTTCCCATGTCAACACCAGAGGCAACTGTGATTGGTCAAGTTAGTTGATGTTGAGAGTTCAAATCAAACAGAGGGCAAAAAAAAATACCATTCCATCTTCGAACATCTGAAGAATCTCATTTGGTCTGCATGATAATGTCAGTTATATTAATGTTCAAATTAATATTAACATGTAAAGTGTGTAAAGGCCTTTCGACATAGACATGAATAGGTTTACCAGTAGGGGGCGCTGTGTTCAAACACTGTAAGGCTGTATGGATAAAATCTCTCATCTCGCTTCACGTTGGTTTGTCCTTCTTGCCTTTATCTTTCTGATCTTTCTGTTCAGCAGCAAAATATAATGGTAAATGTTTGCCTTCTTTTCTCTCCTTTCCTTCGCTTGGTGTCTTTATTGAACCGGCGTGGCCTCTGTCTTTCCTCCTGTCGTCACCAGCTGGATCAGACTGCCTGAAGCTGGCCGCCCTGACCCAGTGGCCCAGCTGTGGAAGGTTCTGGAGCAGAGAGAGAGAGACAGAGTGAGTGAGTGAGAGAGTGAGAGTGCAATGAAAATGATGTGGAGTCGTGAAGGAAAGAGAGAGCAGGATAATGAGAGTGAGGTAGGTGGAGATTGATAGGGCGAAAGAGAAAAATAAGGAGAGAGAAAGTGAGAGAGAAGAAGAGGATAACGGGGAGAGAAGGGAAAAGAGGGTCAGAGAGAGGGAGGAAAGGAGAGAGAGAGAGATATAGAGAGAGAAAGGGAGAAAATGAGATAGACAGAAAACAGGAAAGGATAGAGGAAAAACAGAAGGAAAGAGAGAGCAAGAAAGACAGAGAGAAAGAGAGAGGAAGACAGGGTGAGAGAGAGAGAGTGAGAGTGAGACAGGGAACAAGACAGAAAGAAGAGAAAAAGAGAGAAAGAGAGGGAGATACAGAAGGAGAGAGACGGAGAGAGAGGAAAAAGAGAGAGAGAAAGAGAGAGCGAGTAGGAAAGAAGGGAGAAGGAGAGCGAAGGGGAGAGTTAGAGAAAACAGAAAAAGAGAGAAACAAATGTGGAAAGAGGTAGAAAAACAGAAGAAGGGAGAGGAAAGGAGAGTGAAGAAAAGAAAGAGCGAGAGAGAAAGATAAGGAGAAATAGAAGGAGAGAGAGACAGTGAAAGAGGTAAAAAGAGAGCGGGAGAAAGAGAGAGAGAGGGAGAAAGAAAGAGAAACAAATAGCGAGAGAGAAGGAGAGAAGGAGAGAAGGAGAGGGAGGGAGACAGAAAGAGAGAAAGGAGGAAAAGAGACAGAATGTGAGAGGCAAAAGAAAACAGAAAGAAATGGACAGAGGGGGACAATGTAACAGAAAGAGAGTAACATAGGAAGAAAGAAAAAGACAGAGTAGGAGAGAGAAAGAAAGGAAGAGACATGGAAAGAGAATGGGCAGAGTGAAGGAACGAGAGAGAACAACAGAAACTGAAAGAGAGAGAGACAGAGACAGAGACAGAGACAGAGAGAGACAGAGAGAGAGAGAGAGAGAGAGAGAGAGAGAAAGAGAATAGAAAGTGGCACTGAAGGCAGTTGTAAGCCCTGAGCGCTGTGGAAGATTCTAGAAAGCTGACAGAAGAGAAACAGCGATGCTGCGCTAAACCTTCAGTGCACCAACAGCAGACTGAGGGTCTGAGTGTTTGTATTAATTACCCTCCAGCACCCGGTCTATTTATATTCCTCCATCTCTCATCCTTTCCCTCGCTAATCCCTGCGGGTTCGTTTCGGCCAGTCCTCCTCTGGGATTACAAAGTTGCATCAAATCCCCATCTAATCTGTGCAGACTGGCAGGGGAGATTTAGCCCCAGCAGCCTGGACCACTTCATTCACAGCGGCCGGCCGCACGTACAGCGCTCTGCTTAGCTGATCTCTCAGGTTCTGACATGCTGTTTGTGCATTTCTGTAGAATTAGTCATTTAGTCTACAACATTAAAGACCCCATATTTTACATCTTTTTTTGCATTTGATTTTTCTCCCTTGAGGTCCACGTACAGCATTAAGTTGGGTTTTATGTACCAAAATCAGTCAAAATTATTTTTTACATTGCCATTTTCCAACTTTCTATCCCTTATATTTATTTGTTACTGTGCCTTTAAGACTGATATATGTAAATGAGCTCTGTTTTGTTTGGCTGCCCTGTATTGAGCCTCATTCAAAAAGCTGACCAGGCTGAAACACTCCCTATAATGTTAGAGTAAATGGGTGGAGCTAAACTGCTGTAGGCACAATAGGCAGATATATAAATATGTTGCTTTTTGTGACATCACAAAACCAAAAGAGGATGCTTTTGCAGCTCAGTGTCCAGATATGGACTGTGTGGACTGGAGAGTGTACTGTATGTTTTGAAATGTCAGCAGTGTTATATGCCACATTGAATTATGCTGCATATTTTATTTTTTTAAAAAGTGAGGAAAATGAACACAAAATGTGCCCTTTAACCCTTGTGTGGTGTTGGGGTCTGTGGGACCGCACTCTGTTCTCCTCCTATATGGCCTACTGTTAGTGTGTGTGTGTGTGTGTGTCTGTGTGTGTGTATATGTTTGTATAGGTGTGTGTGTGTGTGTGTGAGGGTGGACAACATGGACAGGCTGCTGACTAGCTACAGCTGCTAAAGGAGAACCCTACGCTGGATATTTTAAATATCTGGTATTTTTACAGAAATTGTTACGGCTGTATTGATTTAAAAAACCAATCATGCGGTGGGTCCACCAGACCACTGAGTAACAAACACATCAACACCACACAAGGGTTAATAGTAAAGGTTACTAAATGGTTCTTGGCTCAGGTGAACAGTTCTAGGAAAAGCCTCGGTACTGCATCACTCCAAAGAACCCCCTTTTTTGGGCATCTTTATTTTTGTTCCTTAATGCTGAATCTGCACAACACATGTAATGTTAATCGTTATCGTGATATTGGCTTTTGTAATACTGATACTGCAGAAGGCTGCAATATGCAAATAACCTCTCTAAGCCAATCAATGCTTTTCACTGCGTGCTGTGAGCATCTTGACTGATCACAGTTTGAGATTCATGTTTTTATGGGTATTTTGTGGTACTCATATTAATCCATTAATAATAATTTGGTCAAAATAATGCAGGTCAGTCCTCAACCACATCACATTATTAATTCTCCAGTATCTTTAGAAAATAAATCATATTATGTTTCAAAAACATAATATGATGCAATATACTTGCAATAATATTTTTTATCCATATCATGCAGCCCTGCTGAATGTATTTATATTTATATTTATTTTGCCATTTTTTTTGCTATCCACAATGATCAGCTCACCTGCGCATGATTACATATATTGTTTATATTTGATATTTGTTTATTGATCTTGGGACAAAACCTTGTATCTCCATTTCCGTGCATAATTTGAAAGTATGTATATTGTATATCATTTAACCAAATGGAAAATATCCTGTTAGATATCTTACTTTGAAAGTTAAGCATATTTTTTGCTTCACCTGTAAAGTTAGTTTTAAGAAAAATATGAGGATTTGTTTCAACAGTGACAATATGGTAATTGATAATAGTACCATAAGAGTAAACCTAATGGTCTACTTTTGATGCTGTTTGCCAAAAACCTGAACTTAATTTTGCAAGACTATCATAAAACAGTATCAAGCAAACTTTTTTAAGTAATAGTTTTCTTTAATGTGGCTTTTAGAGGCATTAAACACGGCGGGTTCACATCACCACCACGGTGAACAATTCGGGGTCTGTAAGTTTCTCTAGAGTGCAGCATTTTACACTCTGTTTACTTGGGAATGATTTCACTTTGCAGAAATTTTGAAAAGCTGGTGGAATTCCCCTTTAAACACATATCTAACCCTGTGTTATTTTAGTCACCTCAACATTTTAATGTAAGCTGAATCTGGAGATGCAGTATAACAACCTAAAGTCTTGAGACACATTTCCTTTCAAGACCTTAAGAATTTCATCCAGCTGGGGTCATTTGTGCTGAAAATGATTCTGAGACTTTGATTGATAATATCTGACCAGAGATTTTCAAAAACGAGAATTATGCTCAAAATAGTCTGATAAGATCTACTGTCATTTGCAGATTAACCTGAGCAGCTGCCTCCTTTCCTGCTTCCCACACTTAAATGTGCCAGCACTCTGGAAGAACATCACTGCCACCTTGTGGCCAACATTGGCAATCATACCTCTTCAGCCAAGCAATGTGGACCCTTCTCCCTTTAATCTCAACATCCTGCCTAATCAGCCAGGCCTATAAATTCATAATGAACAAATAAATTTGTGAGGTTCCAACAGTAATTACAGCGCTGTGCAAAAAAGTAAGAAAATTGTTTAAAACTACTTCAAATGTGTGCATATCATTAGGAATAAGTAACAATACGCACACACTATTTAAGCCGCTTACCCTTCTGGGCTGTGGGGGGTGCTGGAGCCTATCCCAGCGGCCACTGGGCAGAAGGTAAGAGACACCCCGGACAGGGCAGACACACACACACTCACACCTAGGAGCAATTTAGCATGTCCAATTGGCTTGACTGCATGTCTTTGGACTGTGGGAGGAAACCAGAACACCCGGAGGAAACCCACACAGACACGGGGAGAACATACAAACAAAAAGCACCCTGGCCAGGGAATCAAACCCAGGCCCTTTTTGCTGTTGCATGGATTTGTTAAATTCAACCAGCAGCGCACTTAATTTAACTTAACGAAGTATTGCCTGGTCCAACCATCACATCATAATTCATTGTATTAACTGTATTATATTGTATTGCCTATCTGGCACACATGATCAATTATAACAGCCAATTATTTTAACCTGTACTCAGCAAAAGAACAGAAAACCAGTCGGTTCCCACTATGTTTATAATAGAAGCCAGTGGGCAGGTGCCCATTATTGGGCATTTATACAGCAGCTAAGCTGTAGATGTGGCAGATCAAAATTGGGTTGAAAATGCTGTAATTATTCCTTTAATGTTTGTGTATTTAGTGTTAGTGTTTTCTTACTGCCAAGATAAGACAAGATGCAGTACTATATCAGTGGGCCACGTTAAAGTCTGGCTTTGAGAGCTGTGCACTCACTCGGCTATGTACTCCAGCGGTGTCCAGCTGCTGAAGTCTGCGTCAGGCATGAATTTCCTGTTCATCGGCGTATCCAAGGTAACCCTGGAAGATGACGTCATAACGGGGTTATCTGGGAAAAGCTCTGGAAGAGCGGAGCAGCCTGAGGCAGCGCCGTCAGACTAGTCTGCCCTTTCAACGCTGCAGCCAATACAAGCAGCTGACGCAAAGAGACTGCAGGGAAATGTGTGTCATGCACCTTGACAAGAATACAGACGCTGAAATGTCTCATCACAGACAAGAGAAAATCAATCAGTCGAGACATACACTGAAAGAATACTGAGGTACAAAATGCTACACAGGGATGCACACTTAAAGGCAGAGGGAACACAGGGTAGCGTATGAAATATACACCGATCAGGCATAACATTATGACCACCTCCTTGGACAAAACCGTGAATAAACTACATTTGTGGTTAAAGAAAATAGTGTTAATTTGATTTAAACCTTTTGATTCACAATATAGAATAATATGTGGTTTTTACAGCATTCAGTTCAATCAGCCATCTTTTCTAAAACATCTAGTCTGTTGTTTTTTTTTAAATTACAGTGTTTTCAATATAGCGGTTGAAAATGAATACTGACACAAAGCATCTAATTCAGCACCAACCAATTCAGCACAAATACAGACACAGCAGAGAGCACTCTAAAATCAGATTTCACGCTCCTCAGGGCCCTGCCGCTATAGAAAAGTGCAGAGTCAAGCCGTCTCTGGTGAACAGATGTGAGTCCAGATCAGTACCAGCCGTAATGCTGACTCATCGTGAAACTTGGATAAGCGGAGTGGGTAAAAAAACTTACGGAAGGATGGCCACAGCCACGGCTCCAGCAGGAAGCCCGCTGTTCTCTCCAGACAGACTCTGACACAGCTGATGCACTGCAGCCTTGGCCATGCCGTAGCCCACCATACCTACAGAGAGTGAGAGAAAAGGAAAGAGAAAAACTCTCATCTACTTTGTCCTTCAATGGAAACGAACAGTCACAGCACAGGCGCTGACCAGATACTAATACAGGCCTGTGCCAGGTGAGTTACTGCAGTAAGAACCTCCAGTGACAGTAAACTCACTCAACGGCCAATTAAAAAACAGTTTTTTTATTTACTGATTTATTTCACGCAAACTATAGCTAGCAGTGTATGCTCTTGTGGCAGGCTGACATCATACCTGTACAAAAAAGCCACGTATGTTACAGTATAGACAAGACGGCTTTGAGTTTCAAAAGACTCGCGTATAACTGGATCTCAGGCAAAACAGACTCGGAAAAAAAGCATCAGGCTAAGCAGATACAGACACCATGACCTCAGGCAAAAATGGCCTCAGAGGCTAAAACTTGTAATTCTAAATTTCATTCTTTCTAACTAGATAAATTGCAGGTTTGTGGCCAAAGTAAAGACGAATATATACTACAAACATAAATCTACTAAATGTACTTTAGTTTATTATTTGACTAAGCATGATTAAAGGTGCAGTGTGAAAGACTCAGTGGCATCTAGTGGTGAGACTGCAGATTGAAATCAATTGAATACCTTCCTCTCACCCCTCCCTTTCCAAGCGTGTAGGAGAACCTAAAGTGGTCTGCTGTCTCACTTCTGAATGTTCTCGCTTCTTTCAGGACAAGGATTCACCCTCTCTTGCTTTTTTCTGTGCTAAATATTAAGTATCATCCTCCATTTGTCAAAATTTGGGTTATCAAACTTCTCACAACACAGCAACGGTGGCAACCACTGATCTTTCTTCTTTCTACGTGTTTCTCTTGGTGCTATAGTGCCACCAAATTCAATGTAAAATGTGAAAGGTGCTCTTTAGAACTTGTGTTTGATTTGTCCGCTTTGGGCTACTGTAGTAAACACGGCGGCTCAATACAAATGAAGGTAAAGGAAACACAATGATTTGTAATTACAGGTGATTATACACTAATGAAAACATGGTTTTGTATAATATATTCCTTTTCTGCTTATAGACCTTCCTAAATATTACAGACTGCACCTTTAAGCATCAACTCACAAGCCTTTGACTGGTGAAATATTCTCAACCCAGTACTGACACTGTGCTGTTTAAAAACCCCAACAATGCACCAGTATGACACACACTACTATGGCAGTGTCACTGCTGTGCTGAGAATGGTCCACCACCCAGATAATATTGGGTCCATGGTGGCCTGTGGGGGTCTCTTTCCAATAATGAAAGGATGAAGGGTAGATGATACATTCAGCAGTAACAGAAGGGCTAAAGTAAGTAATCGGAACTCCACTAAGTGCACCTATATTGTAGGTGTTTCTGATAAAATGGCCAATGAGTGCAGGTACAAAGTCGGTGCTTCTAATTAACTGGCAGTTTAGTGTTTTATCAATACTGCATATCGGGCATTAATGCTGTGTGGCGTATAAAACGCTACAGCTGATAAACCATTAATCAAAGACCTGCTAAAGACAATGATGCCTCAAAACCAACAGCTGTTGCTTTGATGAACAGCTAACAGGCATTTAATGTGATGTCTGTAGAAGACAGGATAACAAGAATGTAACAATAACAAACACACATGCAGATTCTTAGTAGTAAAAGCACACGCACACCTGACCCTTACGAACAGTTTCTGCTCTTGACCGGCAGAATCGTCCTGCCATAAACAGTGATAGGAGATTAGGCCTGAACTTTGAATAGCCTTCGCAAAGAAATACTTCTCTGAAAAACCTAATCTACACAGTTTTCCACCCTTTACCCCAAATTTACTCAATCAGCCCAAGACATGTTTGGTGTCTGAAGTTTGCTTCTGAAGTTTTGCACTGGACGCTAATGTAGCTTACAAATACAAGGTTAGCATGCAAACTGTGTCTAAGGCCCAATCACTAGCGGTGCTCTGTAGGTGACCCTGCCAGTCTGCAGTGATAGGAGGGGAGGGTAAAGTTCAGCAACCTCACTGCTGGTCTTTGGTGTAATTAAGGGAATCATATGCCTTCAAAAAAGGGTTGGGGGTGGGGGGTTATTTATTATCACTCACCCCTAATTCTTCTGTGAAATGTAGCTATTCACCAGCTTCTTGTTCGAAATTTCGTGTTCCACCTTGTGGAACATATAGTTACATATAGCTTCTGCACCATTTAAGGTGGAATGTGAAATTTAGCTAGCTATCTACTGAGACATCAGGATACTTCCAGCGATTTTTTATGTTTATAATAAAGAAAAAGACCACAATACATAGAAACAACATTAAACTAAAATAATACAATGGTTATCATAATTTTTAACAGAGAAAACACTCACATTTGTGGGTTTCTTTGGTCGTTTGTGTGGCCATTTTGCCAGTTTTTCTTTTTTTCTCATAACACTTTATTTGGATTGTGCCTCGGAAAACCTCTGTTTCGAGGGCCATGTAGCCCTAACACTTCGCCCTACCCCTCTATTTTAACAAAAATCAGGACACCCTACCTCTAGTCGTGAATGCGCAGTGGGTGAGGGGTGAAATGGGATTGGGCCTAAGTCTTCGTACAGTGGCCTCAAACTGTGTTGAGTTGTTACATCATCTCAGGTTATGTGGTGTCTGACACTGCCTGTCATACTGTTATATGTAAAAATGGACAAAGTACAGTGTACATTTGACTAGCCTACCTGGGGTAAAGGGGAAAACTGGGCAAATTTGCCGCAAAGCTATAACCCTCTTCCTGGTCGACAACAAGGACACTCTTTATCCTAATTCAGTTTATAAAAGTACAGAGAGGACCGAACTTAGCTAAGCTGAATCATGTAACTGACGTATTTGTGCATATACAGTCGTATGCTTGTGTGCCTCTGGACAAATAACATATTTTTACTTGGAAAATCAACAAAATAAGAGAACACATCCTCTACAGAGAACGCACTTCTGCATATTTTATTGCACAATTACTGTTTATTCACTGAATTTAACTTATTGGTTAAAAACAATAAAACATTCAATACAAAGTTAGAAAAAAAAATTGGACTGATGCCATTAACTATGTTAAGACTCTGTAATCACTGTCATCCTGTCATATATACATATATATACACACACCAACTGACCAACCGGGCATAACATTGTGACCACCTCCTTGTTTCTAGGCTCATTGTCCATTTTATCAGCTCTACTTACTATATAGGTGCACTTTGTAGTTCTACAGTTACAGACTGTAGTCCATCTGTTTCTCTGCATACTTTGTTAGCCCCCTCTTACCCTGTTCTTCAGTGGTCAGGACCCCCATGGACCCTCACAAAGCAGGTTCTATTTGAGTGGTGGATCATTCTCAGCACTGCAGTAACACTGATGTGGTGGTGGTGTGTTAGTGTGTGTTGTGCTGGTCTGAGTGGATCAGACACAGCAGTGCTGCAGGAGTTTTTAAACAGAGTTTTTAAACTGTCCACTCACTGTCCACTCTATTAGACACTCCTACCTTGTCAGTCCACCTTGTAGATGTAAAGTCAGAGACGATAGCTCATCTGCTGCTGCACAGTTTGGTCATCCTCTAGTCCTTCATCAGTGGTCACAGAACACTGCCCACAGGGTGCTGTTGGCTGGATATTTTTGGTTGGTGGACTATTCTCAGTCCAGCAGTGACACTGAGGTGTTTAAGAACTCCAGCAGCACTGCTGTGTCTGATCCACTCAAACCAGCGCAACGCACACTAACACACCACCACCACGTCAGTGTTACTGCAGTGCTGAGAATGATCCACCACCCAAATAGTACCTGCTCTGTGAGGGTCCATGAGGGTTCTGACCACTGAAGAACAGGGTAAAAGGGGGCTAACAAAGTATGCAGAGAAACAGATGGACTACAGTCTGTAACTGTAGAACTACAAAGTGGACCTATACAGTAAGTGGAGCTGATAAAATGGTCAATGAGTGTAGAAACAAGGAGGTGGTCATAATGTTATGCCTGATCGGTGTATATAAAGTTGGCCATTTTCCTTTTGTGTTATGCATATGGAGAGAATGTTGATTGTATGTTAACGATGGAAAATCAATAAAACTTATTAACAAAAAATAAAACAAAAAATGTGGCATGTGCAAAAGTTATGGCCCTTTGTTTTGTACACTCATATGTTCAATTTTTGTCAAACATGTTAAACTCAAATAAATAAATTAAGCATATAAATTGTGCACTAAAATGTTTGGAAAAATGTCATACTCAAGTGTGTTCTCTGTAGAGGATGTGTTAACTTATTTTCACTTAGAAAATGCAGTGTTTGGACTGTATATCTTCATCCACAGATCTTAGCTCCAACTCTCTACATGTTTAGGACTTTGGCATCTGGAATCAATAACCAACATCAAGCATCTTTACAAGGGGGGGGAAAAGCTCTACTTTAAAGAACAAGAATATTTTCTCCAGCGCCAGACGCCCCAAAACCACTTACAGAGAAAGAGCCAATGAGAACGAGGGGTGGTGTAGCACTTTGTAGCCGCTTTCCCCAGGATCTCCTTTGAAGACCTTCAGCAGCTTCATTTTGACCTTAGGCTTTAAAGCCAGGATCAAAATGGGTCAAAGTGTGCTCACATGCTTTGCCGCTCGAGGTAAGGCTTAAATTATCAATAAGGGTGTTTAAACTCAGTGCGAACTCTCCGAGCCCTGTTTGACTGCAGTTTTATCTGCTATAAAGCAAGCAATGCCGGCAGAAGACCAGCTGAGTTTATGCATCACTAACATGCCAACGAGAATCTTGGAATAAAATAAAACAACCAGTTAATGAAAGATGAATTATCTATGAAAATATGTAATATCACATAATAATGATAAAGTGCCAAGTTACATCACTACAGGAGCATCTATGAACATCACTAATATCGAAACTCTGGGTTCCCTCTATTCTGTTTAGATTACTATACACTTATTTAATAACTGCTATTGTGCGTCACTGTCATATAAAAAACCAGTAACTCTTTTTTTGTTTTCATAGTGTAGCATACATTTTTAAAATTATTTTACGATTAGAAATTTAAGCAATCTTTTAATAACAGCGATGATGATCTCTAGCGGTTATTCTTTCACTGTTATTGTTTTTGCATCTTAAGCAGTTGCATGTTTTATTTTATTTTTATGAAATTCACCCAATTTACCAGATGACGTTTGACTATGTTGTATTCCTCTCTTTTCTTTTCCCTATTGGATATTTTTTTTTTACTCAGCACTGTAACACACTTTGCGTTGCATTTTAAATGTATGAAAAGTGCTACATTAGGCTACTTTCACATTACAAGCCTCGTTGCTCAAATCCGATTTTTGTTCAAATCCGATCTCTCTGACATGATGGTTCACACTCGTTTAGGTAGCTGATTCAAATCTGTCACTAATGTGAACAAACCGGCGTCCTGAAATGACCCGCATGCTCACATCCTGCTCAGTAACGTCACGTGAATTAATCACGTGCATCATCAGCAAACAAACTAACGAGCAGAACGAGCTTCACTGAGAAGATTAACTCTGATCAGCTCTCAGCTTCATTATTAGAGCGAGACAAAGACGAAAAAGGTGAGATGTGTTGCTTTTCCACTGTTTTCAGGCTTTAACTTCTGTTTGGCGCTGCTGCCATGGCAACGCTGAATAATGGCGCAGGCGCAGTGGAAAAAAACACATATGAATTCCGGTCTGAGCGTCACATTAAGGTCGAATGGCCACAAATCGGATATGTCTCCAATCTAGAACCACATATGAAAGGCTATGTTCACATTACCAGGTTGAAGTGGCACAATCCGATTTTTGCCATAATGTGACTCAGATCTGATGTTTTCAGAGCTGTGTGAACACGCAAATCTGATCTTTTCAAATCCGACCTGAGCCACTTTCATATGTGGTCCTAGATCAGATACGTTTCCGATTTGTGGCAATGCAACCTTAATGAGAACGCTCATTAATGACAGATTTGAATCATTTACTTTAATGAGTGTGAACCATCATGTCAGAGAGATCGGATTTGAGAAAAAAAACCTGATTTGAGCAATGAGGCTTGTAATGTGAACGTAGCCAAACTGGCTCAGGTCGGATTTGAAAAGACCAGATTTGTGTGTCCATACAGCCTTGAAAACATCAGATCTGAGTCACATTAGGGCAAAAAATCTGATTTGTGCCACTTCAACCTGGTAATGTAAACATTGAAAAAAAAGGCAGAACATTAAGTGTCAACAGTCACATCAAACTGCTTAAAAATTCATCACCTTCGACTTAAAACATCTTCACGCATCTCATATCATGATGATACTTGACCTCATATCTGATATGTATCATGATATTTCTTTTTTCTTTCATTTTGCACTTTGCAATGAAACATGGTCAGAATTCTTTATACACTAACAACATCCAAGAAATGCTCAGAAAAGCACTGCAACATAATATGATGTAATTCAACATGATAACACTAAATAACATCATAATCCCCACATCCACGGTACCACTAGACTTCACCACCTGCCTGTCTGTAGCAAACAGTCTGCAGCTGAGCTGCTGTTGCGTGACTGGTAGTGTGTGTAGCTCCATGCAGCTGTGAGAGTTGACAGGCCTGTCAAAAACGTTTGGCAGCCCCCCCGCAATCTCCTCTCCCACCTAACGGGTCTTTGAAGAGGACACATCAAACACTCGAAATGGAGATTTCCATCATGTTCTATCAAAGCTACTACACTTGGCTGCAGGGCATTCCCCGTCTCTATCACTGTCGGGCGGGTGAGTGGGCAGATAGCGAGCACTCCAGAGCAGAGTCCACATGTGCAGCACAAAAACGCTGACTCATGTCTCCTCCCAGCAGTGCAACCAATCAGGGAGGCTATTTCAGGCTGGTGTGCTGATGAGGGGGTTTTGGGTAGGCTCCAGGCTACATGAGGTATTGTTCTTAGAGCATCACATGACGTCTGCTCTAATCGGGGTGTTCAGGAGATTTAGAGCCACATGGGCCAGATTTAAGGGGACAAGAGGGTCAAGTAATCACCCGAGTAGACGTAAAAGTAGCTACCCTACTGAACTGTAGTGGAACTTAGTACGTTCAGCATCTATGAGCATAGGAACTGGTGGTTTTTAGGCTCTACTCTTTTCTCTTTGCAATCATTTGTCAAAAAAAGGCTCATATTTTACATTTTCCTTCATCCACTTGTGTGGTTTGTGCACCAAAACAGTCATAATTCATTTTTAAATGACCATTTTCTAACCTCTCTTTAGTCTTTAGAATTAAACAGGCTACTTTGTTACTATGTCTTTGAAATTTATGTAAATGACGTCTGTTCTGATTGGTTGCCCTGTATTTTACCCCACTGCAGAAGCAGCCCAGGCTGAAACACTCTTTATAACTTCAGTCTGAAGTGTATTTAGCTTATACATAGCTATAGCCATATCACATGAATATCACATCTGCAAGTTATTACATTAGTGTATTTCATCACAGTGGGGTTACTCTCAATGGCTGTATTTGTGCAATGCTGGATATTGTAATGAGAGAACTGGATGAAAATATAAAAAAAAAAAAATCTAAAATTGTGAATTCTGTTAAACTGCTGATGCTGAGGGATGTAATGCTGCTCTACAGAATATTACATAATACAATACATGATATATTAACTGATAGTTTGGGGCCAGAACGTCTCATTTACAGAATAATGTCTGTAAATGTAAATGCAAGCGCGAAGAACCTTTATAAACATTCATAAACCTCCACATAATGTAAAGGCCCAGACATGAATTGAAGGTTGTTCCTATAACCTTATTTCAAGGTGTGTAGTTACATGGAGAGATGAAGAATGCAGTAATCCCCCTCTTTAGAGCACCATTTTGGTCTAAAATAAAGCCAGATTTCTATAGAAATACTAGAAAAATCAGGTGTCAGAATTTGGCATGTCAGACACTACTATCCCATAAGCAGCTGGTTTACCTTGCAGTCACTTTAATTTTGAAGCACAGGTGTATTTTAATAACTGCCACATTATCTAATGCTGTGTAAGAATGAATGTCAATTACTGATTTTACCTCACTAAGGAAAAACATCAATACAATGGAAGCTGAAAGAGTATATTTCATAGTTATTTAAACAAGAGTTGTGGACAGATTTGGGAGTGTACATGAACTTTAAAACCATAGATGAAATAATTTAGAGAGCTGTTTTTGCTGACTGATGCTGAAAGACTGGGGAACCATTCATGAGTTAGATTTTTCTTGCATCAAAATTTATTTTGCGTGTATTGGTGTAAAGAGGAGGTTTCTTGACTCAGAGCGGTCTCTCTTGCGTCACTTTATTTGAGTTGTATGGGTAACACGGCTGCAAGCCAAAGCTCCTCAAATGTCAAAGTCTGAATAAGCTGGCGACTATATTCACTGAATACTACTATATGCATCTGATACGTGTCCTGCAAATCAATAACTATCTGAATTAGAAGTTTTTATCTTCCTTATTTTATTTCTCTTACTAGTGAACACAATAGCTGAAACATCAAGCAGCATGGTTGTTTCAGGGAATGTTGTATCATGTAAATAACTGATAAATAAGTGGCAGTTTCAGTTCTAAAATGTGACTGGTTGCATTCAAAGCCATTGTAAAATACTCAATATACGCACACCTTTGCCTCAACAACTGATTCATGTATTAATGCGCAGTTATCTGGACCACTGCGCATATTGATAGGTACCAGACATCAGTGTGGATTTGAAGTAAATACCCCGAATACAGTGCACAGAAATAAAGGTTCTGTGCAGGTACATTTTTTGTTCATCACGGTACAAACAACGTAAATGTTTCCTCAAAGGTACAACAGTGGTTGCATCTTAAATAAGTTTTTCCAGGTGAAAAATACATATTTGTACCTTTTCATAACTGAATGTTTTAAAACAGAACAATAAAATAAAAAGCCTGGAGACGAGACGGGGTGTGTGGAGTCAGTACAACTTAGAAAATATCATTTCAGTGGATTATGGTACAGTTATGTTCCCTGACTAAAGGTACTGAGATGTACCCTTGAGGGTCCCACCCCAGTGACAAGAGGGGCACTGTCCCAGGGGCAGTTTCTTATCTTTCTTCTGAGAGTGTACGAAATAGACCCTACATAATCATTTTTGGTAAATTATATTCTTAATAGCTACAAATAGGCTGAATGACTCAGCCAAAAGCTAAAAGGCAATCTTAAAGGTTACCATATTAATATTCTGTGTTAGATTTTAAATTAAAGTATTTGCTGAAGGATTCCTAGTAAAACTGTAACATCTATAGTATTCCAGTGTTAAACCCAGTGTCAAAAATGAAAGCATGGCACCGTTAGCTTCATGCTAACACAACTAGCGTGATCATTGCAGTATGAATTTGGTAAGAAAATATATTCATGAGGTGCAGGTTTCTATATTAAATACTGATATATTATATGTTCATGACTATATGACACAGATTTCAAAAATGTTAATGAATTGACTGCAATATAAATGACAGGTGACTGAAAGTTCTTCTCCTTATCCAGCAGACCATGAGTGCTTACTAATGACATGGCTTTTGACTGTCACATTGCTTTGCAAACAATAAGCCATTCAAGGCCATGCATTATAATAATTCTGCCATAGTTAAGTGGGATTTAGGCACTCAACAATGGTCAACAACACCCCTTAACTGTAACACAATGCTTCATGTAGCTCATGCTGTAATTTAACAGAGGTTAATAGAAAAGTACAATGTAACTTGAAATTATGGGCACCTGGAGTTCCAGATAGTGAAGCTTTGGCTCCAGCCAGGGTGAGCAGGCCACCTGCTTTCAGATGATGAGAGGCCAGGTGGCTGGAGATGGTGGAGGTCCACACGCTCTGTTTCCACATCAAATCAGTGTTCTTATAGAGGTCTGCAAAGGCAGAAAGAGCAAAAGGGACAAATAGAAAGAAGACGAACAGTTAGTGTTACTATAAGGTAATGCTTTTGTCATCGTACCAACTACCCAAACAGAGGCACCAGTTAACCCCCTTACACCTAAATCTTAAGACTTCTTATACAGTAACCATTATTAATAATTCAGTAACTCTTATGAAAGTAATAAGTGAATTATATAGGTATAAGAGTGTGGAGCTGTAGATTAAAAGTGCGTCCAAAAACTTTTAACAGCTAAAGGTACCATCACAGCAGGTCTATATACACTTGTTTGTGCTGTTTAAGCTCAGACACATATGGCTGGCGAAGACCTTTTGCACCACAGTTTCCTCCAGCCCATCCTCCAGCCACGCACAAAATGGCATCAACCTTCTGGTCCCCCAGCAACCGGGCCACGTCCGATGTCACCTACGGCAACACACATCAGATAGCGCTGGGCCTTATAGGCACGCTGACAATTCATTACAATGAGGTTTAAACAATAGGGCATTTTGACTGTCTTTGTGGGCACACAAATAATTCATCACAGACTATACTGACAAAACATAAGCAGATGAGAGAGGCAAAACACATTTGTTTTCATGGATTTTACGAAACCACCATCCAGATTCATTATAACGCTGTGCATGTCGATGGCAAACACAATAGGACAGATAATGAAAAGTGATTGTGAGCATGGAACACATTTGGTGTCAATACAAGGCAGGAAATTGCAGTGGCAGGCAGGGTTAGGCCTCACCCACCCACCTATATTCTGACAAAACTACACCTCCTGTGCTGTGATTGGCTAGCAGCAAACCACCTCCTTCTATGATTGGCTAGAGGTGAATAGTCTTGTCTAAAACCATATATTAGTAAATGTATTGTTATTTCATTTAAATGCTAGCTTCAGTAGGAGTAAAAGAAGCCAAGAGAAAAAGAAAAAGAAGAGAAAAACTAAAAGAAAACAAATTGAATAAAGTATCAGGTCAAAAACTCTGCCATATAAAACTACAGTGGAACCTCTTAGTACATCCAGCACGTACCAACATAGGAAGGGAAGTTTAAAAATAAAATGCAAAAGCTTGAAAACGAGACGTGTGAAATTAAATCCAAAATTAACTAAATATGTAGTATTTAATGTAAAATGTACATAACAGATTAATGTCCACACAAAAATACTTCTAAAACATGTATTATCGTGTCAAAATACTTAGAAAAGTAGCCTACAAATCCACTAGCAATGAAACTGAACAACCGGTTCGCATATACGATTGGTGGACAGCTTGTGAGTATGGCCTATTAGCCAATCCCAGCGCAGCAAGCAAGAAGAAACTAGCCAATCCTGGTACAAGAGGGCGGAGCTTGTCGGAATACGGGTGGGTAAAAAATCTGTCCACCTACCTGCTCGGCTTGCTCGGTGAAACACTCGCAGATTTTAACCAGGACGTTCGCGTTTGCTTCCTCATTCGCCACGATGTCAACGCTGGCGACCCACTAGACGACACAAAACAACAGACCAGCCCAAACTATAACACAGCAGCGTGACGACAACTTGATGAGAAGCCTATTCAACAAGTGTCATTCATTCAGCACTGAGGAAACCGGCATCAGGAGCAGCGGAGGTGTGGAAGAAACTGTAGCACAGCAGAAGCTAACCATGCGCGCACTCACCCAGCCTTTAGACTTAAAATAGTGGACACACGCCGAGCCCAGAGCTCCTTTCCCTCCGTACACGATCACACGGCTGGTGGGGGTAGCGGCCATGTTTCTGCCTTGTGTGGGGAACAGCGGGTGAAATGAGCAGAGAGAGGGAGAGAGAGGAGAGGGAGAGAAAGGGAGGGAGCAGGGGAGGAGAGATGTAGGGAGGGATGGAGAGAGATAGGAGTGGACAGAGAGAGAGAGAGAGAGATCCAAGTATAGGAATATTCTCCCCAGAAAAATTTAAGTTTGAGAATTTCAGTAATTTTCAGATGAAATAAGTTTTTTTTTTTTTCAAAAACACTTTTTTAATGTAATGTAATGTAATGTCCTTTATAGTGGACAACATGACATTACACAGTAATTATGTTGATGTCATATCTCTTGTTTCCTATACTGTATCAGACCAAAACAAGCAACATCAGCAACAACTTCAAAAACCTTGTCAGTCTTCAAAATCCCAGTCAGTACGACTTTGGGTGTCGTTTAGCAGCAAACTGTTCCATGATAGGTGCGAATCGTAGGTATAAATGGAGAGGAAAGAGAATTGATTTATTTTCAATGTGTAAAAGGGTATTTTCTTATAAATTAGGAAGTTAAATAAAGCTCAGATCCCTAACTTAAATGCCTGCATACACTCATTCAGCAGTACGAGTAAAACTTAAAATACTGGCGGTACAAAAAAAAGCACTAAAAAGAAAAAAAAATAGATAGAGTAATATCACAACAACGTATTTAACTGTTATACTTACATGTTATTGCTTCTACTCTAACTGGGGTGTGACCATCCTTTAATTCCCTCTGCCTCAGTCAGTTTTCTATAACCTGTGAAGTTCCAGTGTCCACCACAGAGGACATCAAAAAAGTGTACTGTTAGGTGATTAAACTTTTATGCATATCAATAAAAAATGCATATTTTTCAACTACTTGCTTCAGTTGCACCTATAAAAATGTGGTTGCTGAGATGGCAGTCAGGTTAAAAAGGCAGACTCCTGTTGCGAATGACACACCCTCAACAAATGATGTATCATTGGAAAGGCCAGGATGTCCTCTACATGGCGCGCCAGGTTTCAGCACTGTAGCTTATATGTTTTTTGAAAAATATCATTTGGGGAATCATGTCCCCACAGAGCACACACGAGCAGGTGCAGAATCCCCCCTGGGTGTAGAATACAGTGCTAAATACAAGAAGCAAGAAAGCAATAAAAAGTATTAGTGTACAGGCTAGTCATACAGGCATGACCTGGGTAGTTGAGGGCCAACATAGGGTATCCAATCAGGACATAGCTAATTTACATATTAGTATTATACATATTACATATTATAGAATCTTTAAAGAACAGTAACAAAAGCCTGTTCGATTCTAAGGGATAAAGAAAGACTGGAAAAAAAGTTAAGTAAAAATGAATCATGGCTGTTTATGGTGCATAAACTTACACAATTACCATAACTGGACCACAAAAGAAAAGGAGGAGGGGCTTTAGGCATGATTCACCCAAACTTCAGTATGGCAATGCTTTGATTGGTGTAGAGAGTAAATGTATATATTTTTTCTACAGAAGAAAGACAGGCATGAGGTCAGAACACTCCAGGCCATTCCTTTAGGTTTTAGTGGAGAGATAGAGAGAGAGGGAGAGCGAGATCAACACTATTATAATAATATGCAAAGTTCAAAGTTGCACGTATGGTGCTGTGCAAAAGTCTTAGGCCCCCTAGAGAAAATTAGATGTAAAAAGCTATTCACTGTGCAGTAAGCATCAGTTTGCTCCCAAAATACTAATATTAAAAAAATACATATAATGTTAATATAATAAGTAGTGATTTTATGCATTTGCTTAACCATTTTCAAACCTCTCGTCGTGGTACCTTGGTATTCATATTACAACCCCATTTCCAAAAAAGTTGGGATGCTGTGAAAAATGTAAATAAAAACAAAATGCAATGATGTGCAAATCATTTAAGCATGATATTTCATGTAAAATGCTTCAAAGACAACATATCAAATGTTGAAACTGAGAAATTTTATTGTTTTTTAAAAAATATTTACCCATTTTGAATTTGATGCCAACAACACTTTCCAAAGAAGTTGGGGCGGGGCAACAAAAGGCTGGTAAAATTGTGTAATGCTTAAAAAAAAACACCTGGTGGTTAATTGGCAACATGGCAACAGGTCAATAACATGGTTGGGTATAAAAAGAGCATCTCAGAGAGGCTGAGTCTTTCAGAAGTAAAGATGAGGAGGGGTTCACCACTCTGTGAAAGACTGCATGATCAAACAGTGCAAAAAATCAAGAATAACATTAATAGCAAAGAACTTTTGCTTTTCATCATCTACAATACATAATAACATTAAGAGATTCAGAGAATCTGGAAAAATCTCTGGATGCAAGGGACAAGGCCAAAAACCAGTATTTGCTGGCTGTGATCTTTGGGCCCTCAGGCAGCACTGCATAAAAACAGACTCGATTCTGTAGTGGAAATCACTGCATGGGCTCAGAAACACTTCTGAAAACCACTGTCTGTGAAAACAGTTCGTCGCTGCATCCACAAATGCTGAATAAAACTCTTAAACTCAAAGAAGAAACCATATATAAACGGGATCCAGAAATGCTGCCACCTTCTCTGGGCCCAAGCTCATTCAAAATGGACTGAGAGAAGTGGAAAAGTGTCCTGTGGTCCGACGAATCAACATTTGAAATTCTTTTTGGAAATCATGGACGCTGTGTCCTCCGGGCTAAAGACCACTCAGCTTTTTATCAGTGCACAGTTCAAAAGCCAGTATTCATGATAGTATAGGGGTGCATTAGTGCACATGGCATGGGTGATGTGCACAACTGTGAAGACACCATTAATGCTGAATGATATATACATGTTTTGGCAACATATGCTGCCATCCAGATGATGTCTTTTTCAGGGAAGGCCTTGCTTATTTCAGCAAGACAATGTCAAACTACACTCTGCATGTATTACAACAGCATTGCTCTGTATTAAAAGAGTCTGGGCACTAAACTGGCCTGCCTGTAGTCCAGACCTGTCACCACTGAAAACATTTGGAGCATTGTGAAATGAAAAATACGATAAAGCAAACCCAGAATCGTTGAGTAGCTGAAATCCTACATCAAACAAGAATGAGAAAACATTTCACTTTCAAAACTACAGCAGTGTCTCCTCAATTCCTGAACGCTTACAGAGTGCTGTTAAAAGAAGAGGTGATGAAACACATTGGTAAACAGGTCCCAACTTTTTTGGAACGTGTTGTTGGCATCAAATTCAAAATGGGCAAATATTTTTCAAAAAACAATACAATTTTTTCAGTTTCAACATTTGATTTGTTGTCTTTGTAGTATTTTCGATGAAATATAGGGTTTAAATGATTTGCACATCATTGGATTTTGTTTTTGCTTACATTTTGCACAGCGTCCCAACTTCTTTGGACATGGGGTTGTATTTGTGATGGTAGATTTGAACAAACAATGGACATGGCAATCAGAAGTCGGCAGTCAAACTTGTGTTCTTCCAGCCATCTCTTAAAGCAAAAACAATGACACATAGATGGCCAAGTTTATTTTAAACTATCTGCGTAGGTGCCCAAGACTTTCGCACAGTACTGTATGTGAAACCTTTAACGTCCTGAAGATCACCATGTGGGTTGCTGAACCTGCTGGCATGCATATAAATGGAAAACGCACTTTCATGCAGTGCTGATCGAGTCATATAAGTGTTATATGACTAAATACTGTGTATTAGCCATCTGGCAGTAAAATCACAGCTTGTCATTTGAATAATACTGATGATGTTTGTGCAGTTCACACCACCACATATCATTTATTATGATTTAACATACAGGTTTCTGACCGCTTTCACTCAACAGGAGAGATACGTGGGGATTTGGTTTGAGATGGCATTGGATTAGGATTAATAGCCTCTTAAAACCGGCACAATCGTAGGTGTTTTGCATCAGGTCGAGGGTTACAGCCAATACACTGAGTGGCCAGTCACACTAGGTTACACCCACCTCATACCTACCCTCAGTGAGCGAAAAAGGCCTACTCCTTGGTATTTGGGGGGTCCCATGTTGGCTGGCTACTCCAGCATTAGCTAACTGCTAACTTACTCGCCTTAGTGGTGCTGGTATTAGCTTTAAAGGCACCAAAATGTTTGGTCCAACAGTTCATGTTTTGGAAATGCTCTTTTCTGGTTTGGTAATGTGCTCTTCTTCACATTAATTGAGATCTTAGATCTCCTCTTTTGTCTTTGCTTTAAGAAGTGAGTAACAATTCACTCTTGCCACTAATCTCTTGTGAAATTGGGCAAGTTTTCAGGTTTCCAAATAGGCCCCTGCTGTAGCATAAAGTTTTTCAGTTATTCTGAGGATAATTACAGGTCCTAAGCTATTAAGGGCAAACAGGGTGAACTAATCTGATACAGCGCCACAGTCAGACCAGTGTTTCATAGTTAGACTGTGAAAGCTCACGAGTTGTGAAGTAGGATAAATTATGATCTTTCCCTGAATTTGTATTTGAGTGTCTGTTTTTTCCCTAACTAACAGCCTGACAAGCCAAAGTCATGATGCTCATTAAGACCATTGAAAAAGCAGGATTCCAGAAGTTAATGGACATTGCTATGCCATTGTTACGTGTAAGCACGTATTCTGTTTTTTTTTGTGTGTCTGTGTCTCTCTCCCTCTCTCTTGGTCTCTTCCTTCATAGAGGTACCTGCTCTGGAACCAATCAGAGGCCTGGCTGGTGCAGTTAGGGGAGGAGCTTATGTTTTAAAAGAGGCCTTCAAGATGGCCGAAGAGAGAGGACTGATTACGTGTGCTGTTTTAGTGTGTGTTCTTAATCTCTTGTGTTGGGGGTGCTTTTGTTTTAGGTATTTTACCAGTGCTTCTTTTAACTTAAGTTTGTAAGACGTCTTTTATGTTAGAGGAAGTGCTTCAGCTGTGGTATTTTACCTGAACACTTTTAACTTTGGTTTTACAGAGATTGTTGTACCACCTGGGGTTTCAAACAGGTAAGAGGGGCGCGCCTATACATTTGCACCACGTAGATGTCTACTCTGTCTAGCTCCCTAGGTCAGAGGGTGGGCACCGCCACATGTACTTTGGTACTGGCAGGAAGTTTAGAGTAGTT